GGGGTATTTCCCGCTGCCCCGCGCGGAGCAGCTCTCCCGCACGGACACTGCACGGACCAGGCCGCATTGGGTGCAGGGGTGCCGTCTCTGCGTCCTGCGTGGCTTTCGTCCACGCGCAGGGAAAAAAAACACCTGACCTTGCCCGTTCCCCTGCAATGCAAATCTGCGAGCTGCTGGAACGGGGAGCGGGTTGTATCTCTAGGGGGTTTAGCCTCTGTCTGCAGTTTTAGTTATTTATTCGTAAAGACATAGTTAGACCTAAGCCTCCTGCTTCTGATAGGCCCTGAGAGCTGTTCCTGTGTCCCGTGCGGGAGACTAAATCGTGATGGCCGCTGTGATGCAACAGGGCCCTCGCTCTTACCTTGGGCACTAGCCTAGGATCGGCCTCTCCACCGCCAGCTCGGTGCTGTAGCTGACCAGCCCTGTCAGGGGTGCTGAGTGCTACTTTCGGAGGCCTCTTCTAGGTCCACCCAGACCCTGGCCGCAGGAGGAGCTGAGCATCAGCTTGCCTTGGAGGTGGTGTGATGGGCAGCTGACCCGCTCAGTGAGGAGTTACGCTGGCTCACGGCGGCAGCTCGTCCCCTGCCTCCAGGAGGCCTCAGGCTTCACGGACCCTAATTGGCCCTTTAGAAAGCAAGGGGACGAGATTATTTGCTTTGCAGCTCCTGCGAGGGATGGCAAAGGGGCTCCTTCCCCTCTGCCCTCAGGCTGACGTGGGCTCTTCTCTGCCGTCTCCCCTAGGCACCATGCTGGGAATCTGCGCGTCCGTTCAGCCCTTGACCCGGACGGTGGGGCCAGCAATCGGTGGTGTTTTATACAAGCAGTTCGGGGTCTCCGCCTTTGGGTATTTGCAACTAATTGTCAACATAGGTTTGTTTATTTACCTTTTAAAGAGTAACGTCCCGCTGAAAGAGAAAAAAGGCCAGTAACAAAGCTGCAAGAAAGTCCCCCCCCCACCATATTTTTTCTCCCCCCCAACAGAAATAGAAAAAAAAGTCAATGTTTGAGATTTACTTTTGATTCCACACACCTGGAATAAAACGTTTTAAACCATGCTTTGCGGTTTCTTCAGCGTTTGTGTCTAGAGGCCAGTTTAACGGGTGGGGGGACAAAAAAGGACGGTTAAAAAAAAAAAAAAAAAAAAAAAAAAAAAAAAACCTCTGTGTGAGAAAACTTGCCTGCATTGAAATGCTGTTCTATGCTGGTTGTACTCAAGTGTTATTTTTTTAATAGTGAGAAGATTTTTTTTTTCTTTTTTTTTTGCCTTTTTTTTTTTCCTTTTCTTTTCCTCATTTTTGTTCCTACATTTTAGGCTGTCTTCAGAAGTTACTGGCCTGGGGGCTCTGTAATGTATCTCATCATGCCCTAGTGCATTAGCCACCAGACAGGACTTTCCCAAAGCCCCATGAGACAATGCTTTCTATGGACTAATCTACAGAGGAGTTTCTGCCATTTCTAACTTTCTTATTATTCTGAGACATCAAAAGAAATACTTCTTTTACTCTTTAAGCAACTGTGCTTCCTAACTCTTGTGTTGCTTTCATTACTGTTCCAGTTTTAACACTGTTGTGGCTCATAACATAAAGCAAAGCAAAGTTATTTTTTGGGGGTTAATTTTCCTTGCTGTTCATGCTGGGGAAAAATTTAAAAAAAAAAAAAAAATTACCGTTTGGAAACTGTCAAGTTGAAGCAGTTGGCGATAGTAAGTATTTCACCTGATTGATAAACTCGGAGTCGTTTGCTTTCTTTTCCTGCCGACTGCTCCATCACGCCTTCCCCCCGCCGGGGGGGCTGGGGCTGGCGGCGCCGCAGCACTGCTCTCGAGGAAGCGCAGGGCCGTTAGTGGTAACTGAGCCGCCCAACATAAAACTTGGAGCATTTCCTCAAAGAATTAGCTGTTTCCTCCAAGCTTCTTGGTCATGGTGCTATAGGGAAAAGCCCGTCTCAGTTTTTCCCGGTTATCGTGTAGCAGTTTAAGCAGACCTCCGAGCCGTAGAGGTGCGGGAAGACGGTAAAGCCAGGAATTTAGCTTTCCTTCTTGCAACGCGGAGGTGTCCCGTTCAGCTTCAGCCCTGTATTAGTCTAAAATGAATAACCTGCTTTTTAGCCTTAGCGTAACACTAAGCTGTGGGGGACTGGGGGAAAAGATGCCGGTTGTTAGAAGACGGAGGCATTTTACCATTGCAGGGAATTCGCACACTCTCCTTACAAGCAACTAGGACTAACAGGCTGTCACTAGATCGCGTGGGAAAGCGCTTCAACACGAGCACGTGCCCAAGCCTCTAGTAGCCGTCTGTATTTGCAGCTGTGAGCAGACTGGGCATCAACACGCGCTTCCCCCCTCCCTGGTCTGGCGCCCCGAAAAGGTGAGCGCACCCCCTCTTTTTAAAGCACTACGCCACTGCCCGCTCCACAAATAGCCATCAACAAAAGTTACAGCACCACAGAGTATAGTAATAAAAAGTGAACATTTCAAGTAATTTATTTGGAATGGACATATTAATGTAAAAGCAATATTAAGACTAATAACTGCTGAAAGACATTCATCAAAATAAATACAAATATAGATAACTACAAATAATTTAAATTGTTTTTAACACCATCAGTCAGTGTTCAATCTTCCTTGCATCTCATAAATAGGAGATAATCGTCGGCAAAGCCGTGCCACTCCAAACACGTGGGCGCTCTGCTAGAAGTCCTTTCGAAAGTCTTTGGTTTTTCTTTCTAAATGCATCTCCAGCAAAGCCCGGGGCTCTTTGCTCAGCAGCCTCCACAGGCTTGGAGGAAACCAAGCCGCTTCCAGCTTTCGTCTTCGCTTTCCTTCATTGGTACCCTGTCCCATTTCAGTCCAAGACGCGTGATCTGGTTATCATCCAGCGGTATGGTCTAAAGGCAGCAAAAAAAACCCCAAAAAACAAAAAAAAGGAGCAGGTTAGTTAAATGAACAGGGCAGCAGGGACCGAAAAAAAAAAAAAGCGAGTTTAAAGAGAGCTCAGCATTTATTTTTTTTGGCAGCTGGCACGTGTATAGTGAATTCTCTAAGGAAAGCACGGCTGAGCGCTACCCCCCCCCACA